GAGCAAAAAAATAACGCTCGAAAAATGAGTTTTATTTTTGATAAAAAAATATAACTCGATATATGATTTTTTGTTTTGAGCGATTAATTTAAAATCGAAATGTAATTCTTAGTTATAATTTTTATAGATATCGCTCAAACTTTTTGAAATCATAAGAGTTCATACAGAGCATGAAAAAACATGCACATGTATATACTAGAAATTGTTCTAGGATATTTTGAACCTTTTGATTTTTTTCATTGAAAATTTTGAAATAATCATTATTTTCGCTCCCTGCTCCCTTACAAGGTTGCGTTTACGAAGGACGGAGAAAGGGAAACAAATGAAACCCCTTGTTGCGAAAATGGTACGCAAAGTAGGCAATTAGTAGTGAAATTCCTTTTATAAATTCTAATGTACTTGCAGGAAATATGGCATTTTAAACGAAATACTGAACGAAATATTAAGAAATCTACGTGAATAATGAAATTTATGTGCTATTTAGCGGCATAAAAACGGCAAAGGGGCTCAAAATTAAAATAAAACTACTATAAAGTATATGTAAACATCGAATTAAAAAAAAAAAAATATGTTTTCATCTACTAAATGTTCATTATATGCATTTGAAAATAAACATATTGCACAAAACGTATACATACCTGTAAGCAACTATTTTTCAAGTAAATTTGCAAACAAGCTACACGGTGCCACGACTAAGGGAGCGGTGCAGGAGAGACAACTGTCAGTTTATCGAGCCTTTAATTATTGAATCATGAGCTGCTATCATCAGATTACATAAGCACAAACAAGATGCATCACCAAGCGAAAAAAGGATTAAAACGAGAAAATCGGGACAAAATGTGAGCGGATGAAATCATAAACATTTTGGATTATATCCAGAGAGCTTCCAAAAATGTAGGTAACAAATAAAATGTGTGGCGGTGGCTGTGTTCTTTCAAAATATATTACCAAATATCAAATATTTTTCTCCGCTAATCAGCGGTGAATTGAATGGTTTGCAACAAGTGTAGTAAATGCAACCAAAGTAGTCTCTCCAGATTAGTGCGAAATACTTGATATTGCACAAATTTGCAAGACTATATGTTCAAGATAGGAAGCGAGGTACATTTCACTTAGGACAAGTAAACATTATATATGAGTGTCGAATCTAATGTGACCAACTATTTAATAGCTCAAAGAAGTATAGGTTAGGTTGGGTTAGGTTAACGCCACGAGCCGTATACCAAATTTCGAATGCGGCTAATTTCGATCCCTGAGAGTTCAGAAGAGCGAGCCAAAATGCTCCCATCTTAGCCTCGCGAAGGTTGGACAGTCTAAATGAAAGTGTGGAGATGATTCCACTTCATCTTCCTTTTGACAGCTGATACAAAAGGGATCGGTTGAAATTCCTATTCTCACCGAGTGAATATCAATCGCACAATGGCCTGTCAAAACCTCCATCACTATCTCTTGGGAGGTAACGTGGTATTCGGCACCTTTAAGGGGTAACGATGGGGTCGTTACTTGCGCTGCAAAAAGCATTTTAAGTGCCTTATAAAAACATTTGCTGCAGCGAAGAAATGTCTTTTCTTCCTCTTTTATGTCACAAAAGGAGCATCGCTTTCTTTTGTCCATTTTATTAGGTATTTAGTTAAAGTATGCAATTTCATTATGGCGAGTATGAAAAGTATACGTTTAGTTTAGTCGCCGAGCTCACACTAGGCCCAACCATCCAAGATTGTACCGCAGGAGGACAGAGGCGTCCCGAGTTGCTCCTTTTCTGGGGATAACGTTTTAAGGGTGCCTTTCCAACGCCAGGCCATCATCCACGCAGTTTTCCTTGATGTCACTTTGACCCGGCACCTAAACTAGAACAAGTACCTAAGAAGTACTCTGAAGCGATGGATAAATAAGTGAGATATTCCTTTACCGATTTCCAACGCACCATCACAACCTTTAGCAGTGAGTCTACCGCTTCGTTTATTGCAGCTATTTCAACCAGAAAGACGCTGCAGAAGTTCGGAACCCCGCCCTACCCAGCCCTCTCTTGAGGGAATATAGGTAGAGGAGCTTCTGGGAGGCATTTCGTAGGCGCTGTAATCTATGTGTTCAGGGCGAAGTCAAAGCCCCCCAGAACTTTAGAGTGTTACTACCCGGTTTCCCTTAGCCTAATAGCAGTTCGTGCTGCAACAATTCTATCTGCAATATCCTCAGGCGCCATGTTCAACATGACGTTAAGCGTCAGTATAGGTGCGGTTCCTAATGCTTCACTGCCACCTGCCGTATAACGGTTATTTACAGAAACACGAAAACTGTGAAAAATCAGTAACTACAGGAGCTAATTCCCTTAAAATCGATGATTACAATAATCAGTTATCAAAAAATTAGAATATCATAAATTTTTCGATAATGGGCGTGGCTCCGCCCACTTATGACCACGAATGTATATCTTGGTAACCGATTTTTCAATTTCTACCAAACCCAGTGCACTTAATAACCTTGGTACGGAAAAGCAATTTGTTGCAAATTATTCAAATCGGACTAAAATTACAACCGAAAACTCCGATATTTCAATAACTGAGGACGCTAATTTACTCCAAGTTAATAGTTACAGCAATTTCCTAACAATAAAAAAGACTGCTATAGACTTTTAGGAATTGGGCGTAGCGCCGCCCACTTTATAACTATAAAGCTGTACCTCGGTAACCACTTAATCGATTTGTACCTAACTAGGCTCAATTATATCATTAAGTCTAACTCTGCATATTATCGAAAACGTTTGAAATCGAGTAAACAGCCCTACTTATCATGCAAAGGTAGTTCAGAGAAAGTTGAAACGATGATATTTGATACCTGAGCCGGGTATATAAAGTTCGGTTTCGCCCGAACTTATACTTCTTTACTTGTTTTTTTATACGCTTAATGTGTAACAAAAACAATCATCGACAATTTCCATTTCAAACAAGTAATTTTGATTTTATCGACAACTATTCATAAGCGCACATAAAGTTTGTCGCTTAGAGCTCCATACCATTTTTAAGCGCAGATGCACATGCGTGTAAAAAAAAACACTCCTATTGAATACATATAAACGTATAAGCTTCATACCTTCATTTATTTAATGTCTGCAAAGATATGGGGTTCACTTTTTTTGTGACTACGCCCATTATGTATATTAGAACGGAGGCGAAATCATGCTTTTTACACAAAGCTGGTTGATGAATGTTGCACTGGAACTCAAGAATCGAATGTTTTGTGGATTTTGTTGATTACTGTCTGCATTTTTGGCAGTTCCGAGCTGTATTGTGGGATGTGAAATGTGGTCTCCAATTCAAACGAAAAAATAAATTGTTTTGATTAG